GAGTTTGAAAGTGAATGCCTCCAAAGAAGAAAAAATAGCTTGTCCGTTTTCTTCCTCGACTCCAAGACAAAAGAAGACGACAAAATCGTTTTGCCGCTAAAGAGTGGGCTTCGAAATTGGCAGAGAGCGACAAAGCTCCTGAAAAACCCATTGAAACTACCGCGGAATCGAGTTTCACGAGTTGGTTAGCGAGCGGAGCGAGCTTCTTAGGCTGCGAAGCAGCCAAGCGAGAGACAAAGTCACGAGAGGTCCCGCGCCATATAAAAATCGGACGAAGTACTGTTTTTAAAGTCTATTGTAGCGGGAAAAAAGCTTCAAGAAAAACTCCGGGAAGCGGTTTGTTGTCGATTTTTCCAGGGAGGTGTCGAACTTTTAAAAAATGTATCGAGGAAAAGTGGGCTTGGCTCAACTTGGCTTGTCCGGTGCGGTGCGAAAATGAAACCTGCCCGTTGCAAATAACTAATGAATCTTTCTCGACAACAGAAAGGATCGAACAGAGCAGAGCCTTTGAAATAAATTGTTCATCTGTTGTCGGGTTTCGTTTTCAACTTTTCCTGCTGTGTCACTATTGTTCTCCCTTCTCTGGTATGCGTCAACATTGACAGCTTTGGTGTTATAATCTGTTATAATCTCATCACGGGTAATACGCCGCCAAAAATCTTTTTTCGCTGTTTTCTCGAAATGAAAATGAGGGCAAGTTGACGTTACGTTTTAAACTCCAAGTCGGCAACTCGTGAACCAATTTGGCTGAAATTGGGCCAACTTACTGTCAGATAGTTTTTCTAAAAAGTAATGTCTGCGAAGTTTGATTTATTTTTTCATTTTCGAGTTAAAGTATTTTTTTCACAGGTAGTGCTAATGATTTGCTATCCCTAACCTCACTTGCTTATAAAAACAGAACAAACGCACTTGACAAAATTCTGAGACACGGTTTTTCAGTCAAACGTGTTAAGAGGCGAATGCGTCCTTAATTGGCTTCTTCCGTTAATTTTTTGCTGGACTGGACTTAAATTTACAGTGACACCCACTTTCACAAAAAGCTTTCAGAAAATGTACGTTTTATGGGGGTATTTGTTAAAAGCAAAAGCGCTAGCGCCGATCAACGCGAGGAGGGTGCTTGAGGGTGGATGATACCTTAAGTGGATAGTCGTTTCTTTTCTTTTGGAAGAACACAATAGGCACAATAGGCTTGCCTCGACTCAAAATTAAGCCTCGCTGGTGTATAGGTATACGTATAGGTATAAATAAATCATTTATATTCACATGCCTTCCCGCATACTAATTATCCGGTATAGGTTTACTAACGAGCGTCTCCCTTATTCAATAGAAACAATAGCCGTGCCACGGCTTGCCCGTTAAGTAACTTGAGCCCGGTTTTCAGACCGTCTATTAAAAGGAAAATAATATATAGATTTAGCCAGGGCTAAAAGCGAAGCTCCCTTTAATAAATTCATAATTCATAAACTTGTAATCCGCAGGGCACATTCATGTGATTTCTGAGGCAAAGGCTAAGTGATATTAGAGAAAAATAATTTGACAGTCCAAGAGTGAAACAAATTTTGCATCGAGTTAATAGTCTTATTTGTACACCCAAAAATAGCAATCATGTTCGATCACAGCAGATTAATCCTGAAAAAACAAATAGACCCATTCGTGTATTGTATTTAAGTCGCCCACCACTACACCTTAATTTTATAAGTTTAATTCAAAGTCTCTCCAACAACTCCGTTTGAGAGACTATGGATAATTGGACAGCCCCGAAATGTGAAACACACCATAGTCCTCGGTGGGAGGCAATTTAGACGTTCCATTCCTCTGTCTAAAAGGGAGGCCAAAATGAAAAGTCACGCCGGATTTTTTGTGTTCGACAAGCTTACTTTACAAGTAAATCTTGGCGACAAATCTGGTGGCGAGTAAACCAGCCTTTTAAACATCCTTTTTTCATCCGGTCTGAGGTAAACAGTACTATGAGGTGCTCTTTCTTTTTTTATCATACAGATCTCGGACATAATTTGTTCTTTTTTGCTCTATTTAAACCTATAATTCTGCAGGTTTTCACAATTTGGCAAGACAAATATTGCACTCATTCAATATCCAGGACGATCGAAGCACGCGCTGGCTTTGCACAACAAATTATAGCTTTGACCACATTATAGAACGTTTGCGAGAGAATGCCGGGACTTTTCAGGTAGAAAAAATCTTTTCAGTTAGAAATAGATATGCAGGGTAATAATTATGGGCTTTTAGTGAAAACGATAAAAAAATGCCCAAAATCACCTTTTCGGCCAGTCGGATGGCTTCTCACTTTTGACAAGCACCAAATTTGCAGTGCGATTAATAGAGTTACCATTTACGCTTCAACAAGATAGAGAATTTGTTATGTGTAGGTTTTATTTCCCTTTATTTATAAAACTGTTTATGGTTTTGTTATGTGTAATCTTTAAAAGCGAGTGATATTTACGCGCGGCGTTTTGAGTATTCCTGCATGCGATGTTTATGTACGACTGAAAACAACCGGTGCAGCGATAAAAATTGCGCGAGGGACTGATAACAATCAATAAAATAAATATAATTCGGTGAAACATGTACAGAGACAATAATTTTCATTCACGAAGACAAGTGTTGAGAGTAAAGTGTCTCTGAAAATCATGAGTCTGGTAAGCATAAACTTATTTATGTTTTAAGCCGGCTTCCCGGGGTTTGCTGTTTTTCAAGATGAACTCGAGGCAAGAAAATCGTTCAGAGCTTTCTTTTTACAGCCAAAATCATATCTAAATATTCTTCGGGACGTTTTCTTTGAATTTGCGGTCAAAAAATGTCTAAAGGCTTTTTAAACCTGATACTCATTGCTCGTTTATAAACTTAAGCCGCATAAACTACGCTCGACTTCAGGAAACCGAAAAAAAAAAACACATCAAGACAATAATTGCTCAGGCTTACCAGTCGAGATGCTGCTCTAGAATCGCTTGAGACTTTTCATCCCTCTTTATACGCCTCAAGCAAGGGCAAGTGAGTAGTAAGCTCATTTTTGAAAACGATGCCATCGGAAATCGGATTTCCAATGACTTTGACAAGCGGTGCATTTCTCAACCAAAAGCGCAATAAACAAACCATGAATGAATTACAGAACAATCATGATACCAGCTGTATTTCATTTTGTATATCAAGTAGAAAAAGACAGTTAAAAACATCAGGAGATGACACAAAACTCTGTCAGCTTCAGCTAAGCAAGTTTCCAGACGCTGCATAAATTTTTCGCATGAACTCACCTGTCAAATTTTGGCCAATCAGAGCATAAAAATTGGAGGTAGAGCGTGATCAACGCGTGATTATGGTGAGAAAAGTCAAAAGTGATTGCCTTCCCTGCATGTATAAAGCCGGTTGAATTTTCGCGTCCGAGGTCAGTTTGAAATCAAAATTTTAAAAGTGCGGCTCATAAACACGACTTATTTCATATGCATTTACAAAAATTCAACTTGCGCCTACGATCATTTGAAAAGTAGCAACTTGTCAGCGGATAGCTTCAAAAAAACACTTGAACTTAGTGGGCCGATACCTGAGCCCGCGATACGGTCAGGCGATACTGGTCAGCAGATACACTATTTTGAGGGCTGTCAATTAATCAAAACATGGATGTACAATATCAGGTTACAGGCTCCCAAACTAGCTAGAAAGTATGAGATTAAACATTGGTGTGCCTGTGGTGCGAACGGACGGAAGGTTGAGTGGTCGGTGTCCGGTCCCGTGATTGGCAAATTTTCTAGGATGAATAGATTTTCTAAGCTATGGGGCTTCGAATTGAGCCCGTGATCAAATAAAATATGAGCGGAAAACTTAAAAAAAATACGTGACCTCAATGGGTAGGAAAATGAGCCCGCTATATAGTCAGGTGATGATGGTCAGCGGACACTCTTGTTTGAGAGCTGTCAATTAACCTTCATTAGAGTGGCGAATATTCGAATTAACAGACTGCGAGTGTGAGTAAGACATATCCGTCCGGCTTGTAGTGGAAAATGCCAGATCGTGTACCTGAGCGGACCTGAGCCCACGCTATTATTTTTCTGATTGTGGTCTGCACATGTCCCATTTTGACAGCTGTCAATTGACATTACTTTGGTTTGCGCATATAACTTTAAACTACTGTCAGCCGACTTACGGCCCTGTCCGGCGTAGTTTCGTTTTTATGTTGAATTGGTAAGTGTGACATATTATATCAGCTTATATGTTGCATCAAAACAACTGGTCTTTCATCTGAGCCCGCGAGATGCTCATGTGACAATTGTCAGCGGATGTCTGATTTTGACAGCTGTAGTTGTGCAAGATCGATTGTGACATTTGACATCTGCTTACATGACTTGTATGTACGGGTGGGCGTACGCTTCGTCAAAACCAAATTTTCTCGAATGGATAGTTTACCAAATTTTGTTACCCATGGTGCTCCGCTAAGAATAAGAGAAGCGATCGCCTATCAACGCGAGAAACGGCTTCCCATATCTTATTTAGCGCTAAAACTCAGATATATGAACAAAACACATACAGAAAGTGGAGTTGAAACGTCTTAATTTCTATTTAGTTTATGTCTTCTTATTTAGCGCTAAAACTCGAATATATAAACAAAAAAACACACATATACAGAATGTGGAGCTGAAAATTCTCTATTTCAATTTTGTCTGACTATTACAGAACCATTTTCTCCGTTCAATCTCGAGGAAATGAAAAACTATTAAAGTCTCAGAGTTTCACGCACCGTTAGTCAGTTAATTATGCCAGTTTGGAAGCCCAAAGTTGAATACAAATTGGCTCTACAGGAAAGACCCAAGGGAGCACTTTGACGTATTATTATATAAACAATTTTAAATAACTTAACAAGGATCAATTAAAACACGCGACTAATAATTGCTAGCAATAAAACGACAGGAGAGATACCGTTTTAAAAACTTTATTAAAAACAACGACAAACAGAGTCAAATACACAGCCATTTGTAAGGAATGGGAATCAATTAATCTTCATCTTCGTTCTCCTCTTTAGAAGGGGAATAGAAATTGGTTTCCAAAGTCTTCGCGTCTTTGTGTGTAACTGCTCTTTCATGTAATTTCTCCCCTCGGGAATCTGGCGATATAGGACAAATCTTGTAGTAATCGTGCCAAAAGCATTTAGGACATTTCATGATCAGTGTCCAGTACACATTAGAGTTCTCGCAATGTTCAAAGGGACGTTTAGAGTGAAAGGCGGTGGACGTTTCAGGGTTACTACTTTCTGTTTCCTGACTGTCGTTTTCATTGTCGTTGTCGCTCTCTTGGGTGCTCTCTTGGGTGCCTTCACCTTGAACGCCATTCTCAGAAGCCACTTCCCCCTCCTCCTCCTGACTTTCAATATCCGATGAACTCTCCTCATTATTACTCTCGTTATCGGAAGTATTTTCTACATTTTGGTAGCCTTTTTCCTTTTCTATTAAATCACATAACAACTTTTTGTTTTATTTATTTATTTATTTATTTATTATTTTCCCACAATAAAGATTACACAAGCATTACATTATACAAAGATGTGGCGAGGGGACCTCAGAAAACCACAAGGCTTGTACGAGGAGGCCCCCTCGTTACAATAATATTAAGCAATAGAACTATAACAACACACAACAACGGACAGTACAAGACGCATTATCGATATAGTAGAAAATCAAAAACTTTCGTTTTAAACGATTGCAATGTAAAAATCGAAGTGACTGAGTTTGGTAAAGAATTCCAAATTTTAGGGCCTTGGAACAAAATAGAAAATTGTTTGGTGTTAGTTCGGCAGGCATGAGAACGGAAATGCGAGGAACTTCTAGTATTATAATTATGAATATTGCTACTAGTAACAAAAAGGTTCGAAAAAAGCGGTGGCAGTAATTGATGATAATATGAAAACATAAATTGTGCAGTATAGAATGAATTAATGTTGTATATGTCCAAAATCTTTAAACGGAAAAATAATGGTTCAGAGTGCGCGAAAATCTGCATTTGTAATAATTCGTACTGCTCGCTTTTTGTAGAAGAAAAATTCTATTAAGGTTTGTTACATAAGTGGAGGACCAAACTGTGGTACAATATGTTAAATAAGGATAAATTAAGGTATAATAAAGAGACTTTTTTGTTGTTTCAGAAAGAAAGAAACGAGACCTAAACATGACGCCAATAGATTTTGAAATTTTCTTACATATATAAGTAATATGCGGCTTCCACGTTAGATGCTCGTCGATAAAAACCCCTAAAATTTAACTACCTTTACTTGTTTTAATAAAACCTCATCGTACAAGACAGGATTTATTGGGAAGCCGACTGGTTTTTGCCTTGCTGCAAAAATGATATAATTAGTTTTCGTTATGTTAACAGAGAGCTTATTTGCTTTCATAAAAAGATCAATTTGAGATAAATCATTATTTACGGCAGAAATAGCACAATTTAAATCGGGATTAGAATAAAACACACTAGTATCATCTGCAAAAAGCATAGTTTCAGCAAGACGAGTAGCACAAGGGAGGTCATTGATATACAAAACAAACAATAATGGACCTAATATAGAACCTTGAGGGACTCCACAGCTCAGAGTCAGCCTAATAGAACAAGTCTCTTTGTACTGGACAAACTGCACGCGATTTGACAAATAGCTTTTCAACCAGCTAAGTGCTAGCCCATGAATCCCATAATGCTCAAGCTTAGACAAGAGTATTTGATGGTCTAAAGTATCAAATGCTTTTGATAAGTCTAAGAATATGCCAACTGTATATTCGCTTCTGTCAATAGCAGTTGCAATTTTATTAATAAGATGAATTAAAGACAGCGCTGTAGAATATTTTTTACGAAATCCAAATTGGCAACAGTATAAGATATCTAAACGATCTAAAAATTTTGTAATACGATTGTGCATAACTCTTTCAAAGAATTTAGAAAAATTAGAAAGAAGCGAAATTGGACGGTAGTTAGTGAAATACTGGGAATCACCAGCTTTAAATACCGGAATCAGTTTAGCAATTTTCAGTTCATCAGGAAATACTCCTTTAATAAGAGACAAATTGATTACATTGGCCAAAGGCTGAGAAATGAGATCAAAGGTGCTTTTTATTATATCCATTGAAACGTTATCATATCCAGGCGACTTTCCAGATTTAAAAGAGTTGCATATTTGATTTAGTTCCGAAATATTAGTTGGATTTAAGATAAGCGACTCATTAACAGAAGCGCCAAGAAAACTACGAAAAGATACTTGTGTGTCTGGAATTTTCCTTGCTAAATTCGGACCTATGTTGGTGAAGAACTTACAAAAGCAGTTAGCTATTTCTTGTGGATCATTTAACAGTTTTCCATCAGAGAAAAAGGAATTTGGCAGAGCTGCTTTTCTGCTCGGTTTGTTGATTACATCATTGATTAGTTTCCAAGTTTCTTTCAGGTTATTTTTAGCCTTCTCAAATTTTGTATCATAGTACTTTCGTTTAGCAATTTTTATAAGATGATTCAGTTTGTTCCGATAGCGTTTGTATTTTAACTCAGTAGTTGAGTCCCTAGAATTAATGAACTGCTTATAGAGTTTATCTTTTTTCCTGATAGAAACAAGCAGAGATTGCGTTATCCAAGGGGAGCGCATTACTTTCTTTGTTTTAAGTTTTATCGTTTTTAATGGAAAGCTTTCATTGTATAATCGAACATACTCACTCACAAAACTATTATAACATTCATTAGTATCGCTTTCATCGAAACGTAAATTCCAATTTGTTCTTGATTAAACCTTTATCGATTCCTAACTCCGCAAGTCCACCTAGAAACGTGTTCAGTGCACGAGGCTTATGAAACCGTTTGTAATCTTATGTATGATGTAAATAAAAACATTGCTCCGGAACATATTTTGAAACTCTTCTCTCGAATTTCTAGTGTTCATACTTACAATACACGAGCCTCACCCTCTGAACATTTTTTCTCGACTCAATGTGAAATGAAATGCTTTCTCGCGTGTTGGGGTCAAAATTTGGAACGGGATACCTCAAATTCTTAAAGAAAGACCGAAAAAAAGCTTTCAAAAGATCATTAAAAGCAACGCTATTCGATATCCTTCAAACTAGCTGACTCCTATATTGATGTAGATACGATTACTGTTGAAATGAAAAAGTAGTTCTCTTGTCCTCTATTTCATTCTATTTTATTTTTATAATTAACTCCAATATTTTCTTTGTATTTAGATAGAATAGAATCTATTTACATAACGTTTAATTTCTTTGTATTTATCCAGTTTGTAGTAAATTATGTAGCCTGACCTGCCTCGAAGAGCCTCACTAACTGCAGGCCATTTCCACTGTATTTTTTAAAATATATTTCCGGATTTAAATATAAGTTGTTGTTGTTGTTATTACCTACACAAACAAGCCATAGAAAGGGTAAAAATGCATTTTGACGGCAAAATCATGGTCACGTTGTATACCTGAGACTAATAAGGTCGATTATAGTGAAATACCATTAAGTAGAAGTGTTTAGAGCAGATAGTCGTTGCGGGTACATAACCCCTCTTTTTTGTAAGAAAAACTGTTAACGTTATGATAATGAGTTATGCGAGTTAAGCTACCGACTCATGCGACGACGTTTTCTTACACTGAAGAAGGGTTATACACCCGAAACAACTATTTTTACGACCATTTCTAGAAACAATACGAGGAACATAATTTTGGAGCAACTTCTTGTATTTTTCTTTTGTTTGTCTGTCTTATTTTACAGGGATCTTAGTTCCAATAACATTCTGGATCTTGACGCAGGGGTATTCTCCAACCTGACAAATTTGCAGAAGCTGTAAGTTGTCTGAATAGTTGTTAAATAATGTTGGTTTAAACTCTTTGAGACACTATTTCAAATCAAAATACTTAAATGTAAATGGCGCAGTATATGCAATGTCTCTTAAACCGGACATTTCTTGTACCTTTTCTAGTGAAACTAATTAATAGGAAGGTGAACGCATTACAATACAACTGAAGAAGGGTAATACACCCCAAAAGCCTGTTTTTACAACACGTTCTAAAATATGTTTCAACATTATTTTATGATTTGTTTAATTGCAAATGTAACGCATCTCAAGCGAATGGCCTGTTTATTGTCCGACCATACATGGGATTTTAGACCTTTTAAAAAGTGTTTTTTTTCTTAAAACATTGCATTTCCTAAGGTTGCATTTCGTTTAAATTAAATGATTTATTTGTTGATTGGTGAGCATGGTTTTCTTGGTCAAGTGATAACGCTCCCTTGGTTTTCTTGCTGGAGGCTCATTACGTTTTATAAATTACATGGCTATCCACACTGCAAGCTTTTACACGTTATAAATATCCCCGTTTAAAAAACAGCTGCGTAGCCTCACATATTTTCATCCGTTTGAACCGTGTCAATAAAACGTTCTTAAAAAATCTGTCATTTTCGCGCCATAGCAGGAATGCATATCAACGCCTTTTTTGTTACCTTTCACGTGACTGAGGGTTGCCAACGCCGCTCTTCGTCTTGTCGCATTTGCCACGCCTGCACCGCCATGCAGATCCTACAAATTTGCTTTTTCCCAGTTGGCTACGACATTCATCGACAGTGTATTATTACACCACTGAAAAGAGCTCATGATACCCTTATCCAGAACATTGTCAGCACTTCCTACTATTCCACAGTTTCAAATAGTAAGACTTCCAGAGAAAGCAGTAGAACAAATGCGTGAAGTAAAAGAGCTCGAGAAAGAATGGAAGGATGAGACCCCCGAAAGTGACCCCGAGAAAGAAGATGAGGATCTAGAATACGATTCAAGTACGGACGAATACGACGAACAGGTGGAGACTAAAGGTCGGAATTTGACAGACGGTCAACTTTCTTAGTAGGAGTTTTCGAAGAAAAGTCAGAATAAACCACAGACATTTAATGTAGAGGTAGATCGATCGTTTAGCTTATCAGAAAACATGAACATGAAATGCCGAGGGCTACTTAGACATTCCATTAATGTTGAGAGATATCGTTCCTTAAAGCGTGAGGACGTTTTGTAAGATTGTATGGCTGACACACAACTCAAGGAGCGTTTTTGACGAATTCACATGAGAAATAATCGGCGGATTCGGATTTAGGCCCAATGATCCGCACGACTGAGTCTGCTTTAAAAGAATGCGTTACAAAGTCAATGCTGAATTCAAAAAAGCTAAAGAAATATTCTATAAAAACAAATTGAGCGAATCTGACTGCGACGCGCTTAGAACGTGGCAAGGGATCAATGAGCATACTTCTCGAAAAACGGGCAGGTCTTTTATTAAGGAATTAAGTTTGAATGGAGTTTGTATGACTAATTTAACCGCTTTGTCAAACCTTTTTATTTTAAAACAATGGTCCCAGTTTTCAGGAACATATCTCTGGCCTTAGCGAAAGATTCCAACTCATCCCAACTGATAGTAATCAGGTGTTGTCTCTTTTTTAAAAAAAACCTGAACAAATCTAAAGGTGCTGGTCTCGATGAAATATCTTGTCGACTTATCCTTGATTGCGCTGATTTAAGTGCATCTCATATTTTAATTATGTTTAAGAGTTCTCTAGCTAATGGTATATTTCCTGATGATTGGAAGTCCGCAAGGGTTGCTCCTCTATTATAAAGCGAGGAAAAAGAAGCTACACAGACAATTATCGTCCAGTATCAGTTATCTCTATAATTAGGTTATTGAGAAAGCTGTTAATAGATATGTTTCTAATGCCATTGGTAATACTACAAAACCAGTTGACCCTAAGCCTAAGACTGCTAAACACGATTATAAAATCCCTAATATAGGTCGTTTCGTCGCAGTTGCACAAACTAAATTGCGACATTTAGTGAACTATTATTGCGCAAATGTTGACATTAAGTTAGCTTTTTCCACCTTTACTGCTGGGCATTTTTTTCAAAGTGAAAGATTCTGTTACTAATGGCCTCCAGTCACGGGTAATTTTTTTCTTGTGCTGGCTGTAATGCCAGTTACATTGGCGAAACTACTGGCCAGTTCTCCACTCGCGTCCTTCAGCTCCTTGTATCGGACAAGGCTTCTTATGTCTACAAACGCATTGCTTCATCTCTAGCTTACAGAGAATCCTGTCCTGTTTACTATTCCTAATAACTGGATTCTAGTTAAAGATTAAGAAAGCTATGTATACAGCTATTTCGAGAAAGGTTGTCGGAAAAAGTACACGCGACAATCGCTAAAGGTATTGTGGGTGGTTTTGAGTTCGCTGTTCTTCACAGAAATTTGAAAGAATGGCACGAGAGGCCATGGACGTATGTTTGCGACAAAAGCAACAAAAGAAGTTTTGACAGCTACAGTACCAGGAACGGTGTATTGATCATATCCCATATTACCTTTCGGGATTGTCGCGTGCACAGTTTTGCCGACAACCTTTCTCGAAATAGGGGTATAACGTGGGAGAAACCTATTCTAAAACAACAGGTAAAACACTGAAACCTGTCACTTTCCCTGTAGCTTAGCTCTTATTTATGCTGTTTCATTTTCTCTCTTCATTGTAATTCTGTCACATTTAGCTTTCATTGAAATCGTTGTAATTAGCATATTCAAATTGTAAATACTACTACAACTGAAGATATTCAGGTTGTAATGAGGTTCTACAACTGAAGATGGCATAAGTGTACCGAAACATGTCTTGTAAATTGTCAAAGTATTTGAAAGAATTATCTATAATCAAACCCTTTGCCTTTTTATAATATTTGTGTCTAAGCACCAATCTGGATTTCATGCACTCCATTCAACAGTTACAGCCTTAGTAGAAGCAATCGATAGTTGGGCCTATAATATCGATATAGGTAACGTTAACGCTGTTGTTTTTCTTGACCTTAAGAAAGCGTTTGACACAGTCGATCATGATATCCTATTGTCTAAATTACATCTTTATGGCATATAAGGTGTTACCCATGAGTAGTTTGCCCTCCATTTAAGCAATCGTACTCAGTTATGTTCAGTGTCAATGGTTCCTTTGAGAATGTTGCACCCTCAAGTGTGGAATTCCCCAAGGAACAATATTAGGCCCTCTACTCTTCTCGCTATATATCAATGATTTGCCCAGTGGTCTGTCTCATTCAGAACCAAGAATGCATGCTGATGATACCCATCTGACTTATTACAATGGCAATATCCATTCCATTCAATCTTCCCTTGATGAAGACTTGCTCAACATTAATCGCTCGCTTATCGCAAATAAATAAACGTTAAGTATGACTAAAACTGAATTCGTGTCAATCGATCCAAGGCAAAAGCTTAATAGTTTACCTTCCCTGCCTTCGTTCAATGTAAATACTGTTCCGATCAAACATTTTCTTTCCACGAAGAAAAAAAAAACCGCACAACTTTTTATAATAAACAGGGTGCATTGGACACATTCCCCAGGTGAGAGAGGATGGTCAAAAAGGGTTTGAACACTCAAGTAGTAAAGTGGAAGCACTAAAGAGAAATAATTCCAAAGTCGATAAAAGCGCGATATGAGGATCGTTAAAATAAGGCCATTTGGACCCATAAGACTAGCTTTCCAGGTGGGAATTTCCCAGTGACGAAAAAGGCGAGGCAT